AACCCCGTGTTTACTAAAAATACAAAAATTAGCTGAGTGTGGTGGCACAGGCATGTAATCCCAGCTACTTGGGAGGCTGAAGCAGGAGAATTACTTGAATCCAGGAGGCAAAGGCTGCAGTGAACTGAGATCGTGCCACTGCACTCCAACCTGGGCCACAGAGTGAGACCCTATCTCAAAACAAACAAACAAACAAAAACAACAAAGTAATTCAAATATTTAAGCTGGTGGATCTCTATCTTGAAGCAATGTGATCATGGGGTTCAGTCACATGACACACAGCTTTCACACAGACAGCTGGAACTCTCCTTTCCCTGATTACAGATTCACCTTCTTTCTTACCTATAGTGTTTTGTAAAATGTTGTAAATGACTGAAAGGAAACAGGAAAGACCCTTTCCCTCTCCACTTTTTTTTTTTTTAAATATGGTTTTTCACAATTGAGATAGGGTCTTGCTATGTTGCCCAGGCTGGTCTTGAACTCCTGAAATCAAGCCATCCACCTGCCTCGGCCGCCCAAAGTGCTGGGGTTCCGGGTGTGAGCCATCCCGCCAGGCCCCTCTTCACTACTGATCTCTGTAGTAGACTAACTTCCCTCTTTACTTCCTCACATAAAGACTTCATGCCTGTCACACTGTCTTCAGCTGGAATGTTAAATTCACTCTTTTAAATTGAAAAGGAAATAAAAACCAGCTAGAAAGAAAACAAGCTCTGGGGGAAAAAAGCAAACCCTAAGGAAGTAAGTTGTTAGCCGGGTGCAGTGGCTGATATCTGTAATCCCAGCACTTTTGGAGGCCAAGGAAGCAGGACTGTTTGAGTCCAGGAGCTAGAGACCAGCCTAGGCAACATATCGAGACACCATCTCCATAAAAAAAAAAAAAAAAAATTAGCCAGGTGTGCTGGTGGGCAACTGTAGTCTCAGCTACTTGGGAAGCTGAGGTGCTTGAACCAGGGAGGTCAAGGCTGCAGTAAGCCATGATCGCACCACTGCTCCAGCCTGGGCCACAGAACAAGACATTAGCTCAAAGAAAAAAATAAAATTAAATTATTGTTCCTCATACATCAGCCTTGTATGGAAAATGCAATCCTATTATATTTATTTGCAATTTCCCTATATAAGTGTTAGGGAAGCAGGTGCCTAGGGGAGCCAGAGTAACACCAATTTAAGTTCAGCTCCATCTTGAGACTAACAAGAAACACTCCTTGCCAGTCATAACCCATGATCATCAAATGTTTCCCATGAAGGAAACAGCCTGAAGATGCCTGCAAGTATCCTTACAGTCCCACAACAACAGAACGTCCCCATGTCCCAATACCCGTAACAATATGTGCTTTCAAGATAATTACAGTTATGTTTTAATGCACTTGGGCGCTAAAATGTAAAGGATAGTTTTCTTTAAATCAACAGAGTAAAAATTTTGTGATGCTGTCAGCCCACATGCAGGTAGGCACAGGTTAGTTTAGTCTTCACATAGACAAGACTCCCACATAAGAAAAACTTAGTACATTCCTCCACTTGCTTTATAAGGATGCTGTATGCTGTAACAGAGGATCACTCTTTCTTTTCCTTCCTTTTTTCTTTTTCTTTCTTCCTTCCTCCCTCCCTCCCTCCCTTCCTTTCCTTTCATTTTTTTTTTTTTTTTTAAATAGAGACAGGGTCTTGCTGTGTTGGCCAGCTGGGTCTTGAACTCTTGCCTCCTGAGTATATGGGACTACAGTTGCAGGCCACCACACCCAGCTAATTTTTGTTGTTTTTGGAAAAGATGGGGTTTCCCTATGTTGCCCAGGCAACATGGTCTCGAACTGCTGACCAGAAGTGATCCTCCCGCCTCGGCCTCCCAATGTGCTTGGAAAACAGATCTAAGCCATCATGCTGGCCCAGAGTAAGCTTTCAACAAACTCTCTTCTCGCTGCACTTTGTGACTCATCTTGAATTCCTTCCTGCGTGAGATCCAAGAACTCTCTTGGGGTCTGATCAGGGCCTCTTTTCCTGGTGATATAAGCAAGAACTTAACTTCCAATTTTAGAATACTGAGTCCACTTCTCTGGAGTCTATTTTTTTCCTGAATGGGCCATTGCTATCTTTCCGCTTGAATAAACTCTTCAAACTGAAATCTGAAGCTTTCAATTATTTTGGAGTGACAAGTCCAAATAAGGCACCTGCATCTCTGCCACCAATCAAGCATTTATCTGGTTTGTCTCCTCATGCACCTAATAAAAGCCTAGCCTTCAACCTGTAAATTAAAAATAAAAACATACCTTCTGGTCTGGTGAGGTGGCTCACACCTATAATCTCAGCACTTTAGGAGGCCGAGGCGGGTGGGTCACTTGAGGTCAGGAGTTCGAGAACAGCCTGGCCAACACCGTGAAACCTCATCTCTACTAAAAGCACAAAGATTAGGCGGGCGTGGTGGTGCGTGTGAGGAAAAGAAAGAGAGATCAGATTGTTACTGTGTCTACGTAGAAAAAGAAGACATAAGAAACTCCATTTTGGTATGTACTAAGAAAAATTGTTCTCCTTTGAGACGCTGTTAATCTGTAACTTTAGCCCCAACCCTGTGCTCACAGCAACCTGTGCTGTATTGAATCAAGGTTTAATGGATTTAGGGCTGTGCAGGATGTGCCTTGTTAACAATATGGTTGCAGGCGGTATGCCTGGTAAAAGTCATCGCCATTCTCAATTCTCTGTTAACCAGGGACAGAATGCACTGCGGAAAGCCGCAGGGACCTCTACCCAAACAAGCCTGCGTATTGTCCAAGGTTTCCCCCACTGAGACAGCCTGAGATATGGCCTCATGGGAAAGACCTTATATGCCCCAGCCCGACAGCTGTGAAGGGTCTGTGCTGGGAAGGAGTAGTGAAAGATGCAGGCCTCTTTGAAGCTGAGATAAGAGGAAGGCTTCTGTCTCCTGCTGGTTCCTGGGAATGGAATGTCTCTGTGTAAAGCCGACCATTCATTCTATTCTGAGACATGAGAAAACCCGCCCTGTGGGAGGCGAGATAGGCTGGCAGCAACACTGCTCTGTTACTCTTTGCTACACTGAGATGTTTGTGTAAAGTGAAACAGAAATCTGGCCTATGTGCACATCCAGGCACAGTACCTTTCCTTGAACTTATTCATGATACAGGTTCCTTTGCTCACGTTTCCCTGCTGACCTTCTCCCCACCATCACCCTGTGGCCCTGCCACACTCCCCTCGCCAAGATAGTAAAAATAATGATCAATAAATACAGAGGGAACTCAGAGACCAGCACCAGTGTAAGTCCTCGCATGTTGAGCACCAGTCTCCTGAGCCCACTGTTCTTTCTCTATACTTTGTCTCTGTGTCTTATTTCTTTTCTCAGTCTGTCGTCTCCACCTGATGAGAAATACCCACAGGTGTGGAGGGGCAGGCCCCCTTCAGGTGCGTGCCTGTAATCCCAGCTACTTGGAAGGCTGAGGCTGGAGAATCGCTTGAATTCGGAAGGTGGAGGTTGCAGTGAGCCGAGATCCAGCCATTGCACTCCAGCCTGAGTGACAGAAGGAGACTCTGTTTCAAACAAAAACAAAAACAAAGTACCTTCCCAGGTAAGGGAAGTGACCGGCTCTTGGCCAAGGGGACCCCTAAAAAACCCTGAACATTGAGTTCCTCTGTATGACAGGATGGGAGGTGAGACAGGCTTCCTGGCCAACACAGCGACACCCTCTCCCTTTAGGAGTTTAGATGCAGCAACTGACGCACATTCATGTAAAAACAGACATCATCAGCCTGGAAAAAAAAGACTCCTGTGGCAATAAGACACCAAATTACAAACAAGACCTAAGGCCTCGCAAGGCAAGGGTAAGTCATGCCTTAGAATTCATAAAATCTAGAGAAACAGGTCTGTTTTTTGCCTGGAATGCAATCAAGTGGCAGATAACAGACCCCCTTCCTTCAGCATTCCTTCCTACCTCCTCCAAACTTTAGACAAAGCTTCACGCTCTCCACCAGCTGCCACCTACAGAATCCCTCAACCACCTGTGCCTTCTAACCCCCCTTCCACAGGTCTCACCCTTTCTGCTTTTTGTTTTTGTTTTTTTTAGACAAGAGTCTCACTCTGTCGCCAAGGCTGGCGTGCAGTGGCACCGTGTGGGTTCACTGCAACCTCTGTCTCCTGGGTTCAAGCAATTCTCCTGCCTCAGCCTCCCGAGTAGCTGAGATTACAGGCGTCCACCACCACGCCCGGCTAGTTTCTTTTTAATATTTTTAGTAGAGACGGGGTTTCACCATGTTGACCAGGCTGGTCTTGAACTCCTGACCTCAGGTGATCCGCCTGCCTCGGCCCCCCCAAAGTGCTGGGATTACAGGCGTGAGCCACCGCGCCCGGCCAGGTCCCGCCCTTTCTGCCAAAGGAACTTAAACCTTCCAGTAACTAATTCATTATTTTCCCCGCAATTCCTGTCTCTCTAAAATGAATAAAATCAAACTGTTTTGAGCCGCCTCGGGACCACTCATTCCAGGCTTCTTGGGGATGTTTTCCCCTCGGCCAAGGTCTCTCCTATTCGGCTCCAAACAAACTTCTTTATTTTACATAGTTTGGCTTTTTCCTTTGACAAACCACAAGCCAGGACTGGGTGTGTCTCATTCGTGAATCGCTGTTTGCTCAAATGAACTCTTTGTTAACCTTCCTCAGTTTAATTTTTAACAAGAGAAAAAGTGGACACTGGGGGCCCCACAGACCGCTGCTCCTCCTACGCACGAACCCCACACCCGAGTCGGGATCCCCCCCATGACCCTCCCGCGGCTTCCGCACAATCTGGAGCCGCAGTCGCCGCGCAGGGACGGGACAGGACGCCTGGTGTCCCGGCTGTCGGCCCAGCCACACCCAGCAGCCGAGGGGACCGAGGGCCGAGCGGCTCCAGGAGGACTTGGTCCCAGATCCCGAAGTCGCCTGCAGGAAGGCCGGGGTCTCGCCACAGTCGGTTCTGGTCGGTCCAGGCAGCCCCTCCCCCGTCTCACGACACCCAGCCCCAGACACGCACCATTTCCTGGCTTTCAGATGTCCCGGGGTCCTCTCTACACCTCCTGTGACTACAGCAGGGCATAGCGCAGGTGACAGAGCGACAAAATCCTGGGTAGAGGCACCACGTCCCTCTCGGGGCTGGAAACACCGGATCCGAACCGCGGCCCGCTCAGCCACAAACGTGAGGGCAGGAATCCGACCCTCTCCGTGTCTGGAAAAACAGTGGGCAGGGCCACGCCCCAGTGCCTCTGATTGGATGGAATGCTAGGCCCCGCCCCCCATGTCTGAGTGACAGCGGAAGCCCTGGGTATCAGGCCCTGCAGAGCCAGACTCACGGATTTTAACCACTGCTTCCCTAAGGGTGAGCTCCTTCCTGCACTCTGGTTATTGGATATTTGCATTTCAGCCAAACTTGCTATTGATAGAGAAGAACGCTAGCGTTTTCCTCACTCAAGGGACTGTCCCTGCTTCTTCGTTCTGCACGGGGTCACAGGAGTGTGCAGGGAATTTCAGACTCAGTGTGCACAGGAGCCATCTCCTGCCTCAGAGCAGCAGTGGAACCGAGACCAGGCCAGGCACGCCTGCACCAGGAGGAGAGGCATATGTCCTCAAGCGGGCCGCAAGTGGGGATGAGGCATGGCCAAGACTTGTTCACTTACCCCATCCCCTCCTCACAGTGTGAAAATGCTCCCTTCTTCCAGATCTTCATTTTCACCAGCAGCAAACTCTCTCCTGAGGTTAATTTAAGCTTTTGACCTAAAGAAACTGTCAACTTTATCCAGGTGACGCCGCCCAAACAATTCTGTCTCTAACCTGATCTTCACACATTTTCTTTGAATATACGAAGATCTCTGTTGGATATAAAATGCTTTAGGAATAAATTCTTGGTCCTGCGAAGTAAAACTAACACTTAGGGAAAAGTTTAATTTGTTTAGCAAGGCAATTTACTTCTGCGGAAGGGTGCCACTTGTGTCAATCAAGATCACAAGAGCACAGAGAACAAACGTCACCAGGGGGTTTTATGTCCTTAATGCAGTCCCTATCTCTGTGTCACTCCTTCATGGCCTGGGGTTCGACCACACAATCTGAGCTGACCCGATTGGCTACTTGTACATATTTTTATAAATATAGAAGGAGAGGGGAATGTGAGGTACAGAGGTGCAGCGCGTGAGACGTTCAGGGGAACAATGGGTACAGGTAACCAAGGGAACAGATGGGAGTTACTAAAGAGAGCTGATGAGAAGGGGCTAGGCTGTTTTACAGTAACTAGGGGCAAGGAGGAACAGGAAAGTTGAGTTTGAGAACAAAAGACAAGGAAGTTAGCAGGCTAAATCTTTGAAAAGAAACTCAGAGAAATGTACTGTGTGTTACAATTCCTCCCTTTTCATTTTCTTATGATCTTTTTCTCTTTAAACTTTTTTAACGTGTTTTGGCTTTGCTGTTTGCTTTGATCTTTTAAAAGGAAAAGCTTACTAGAACAAGGTGGAGGAGAACTAAGGGGGGTTTCAGTAAGTGTTGTCTGTGCAATCCTTTGTATTAGCCTATGGATGCATGCTATGACACAACACCTAACAAGAATAAGTACATCTGTTACGACTGTAAGAGCAGTAAGTATTGAGGCTATGATTCTTTATTTACTGAACTACTTTCCTAGCCATCTTGAAATAGGGTCATTGACTCCAGAATTTTTAGCTAATTCTTTGGATAAAGTGGTAAGTCCTTACAAGGCCTTTGTTATGCTCGCACTGGGGGGCAGTGTTGTTTGGGATGAAGGTACAACATTGGGTTTTAATCATAACACAAACTCCACCTTTTTCGGCTAATAACATGTCTAGAGTCATTCTGG